TTTTGTCCGCGCATATTCATTGACGATCCTGTCTCCTCCTGGTTTGTTCTTTAGAACATTTTCAATCATCTAAAGTGATGGTAAAAATATAAATCGATACGTTGCAAAAACACTGTACACAAGACAATTACAAATCCTATTTTATTCCATAAAAAAGAGATAGTATTAAAAGAACTATAATAGTTATTAGTGGAATAGTAAGTTATGTTAAAAAGCACAAACAAAACTATAAGAACTTAAATTTTTTGGGAAGTCCAGAGCCTTCTATGCTAAGGATCTGGACTAAAATGTGCAGAGATATGCTGAAGGAAAAAAACACAGAAAGTGGTTTTAAGAGAGCAATTTATATAATGTATTCAAATTTTGTAAAAACTCTATGGAAGTCTGCACAGTAATCTGCATAGCTTACTTGGGCAAGAGAGGTGTCTTCAGCTCTATGTCTTGTTACAGGACTGTGTTGCAATATAATGGTGTCATCGGAGTCCACTTCAGTTTCTCCACTGGAGCTGGTGAAGGAGCTGCTTGCTGCACAGCTTAGCTGATCCATAGGATTATCTAAACATTTTGTTGGTAGAATTAACAGTAGTCAACACTAAAATTGAGAAAATGGTTCTCTCCCAAAAACTTTTTTTATATATAAATTAAGGTCACCTGATGAGCTCTTCTCACAAGAAACAGTATGATACAAACATAGATAACTCATGCACATTTATCTGTGTTCATTGTGATGAACCACTGAAACACTAGAAATAGGCCAAACCGTGAATGGTCTGTGATGTAAGATGTTTCCACATGTTGTGTGAAATGCTACAAAGGTGAACGCTTTTATGATCTCATCCTAGATTGGTGATATCAAATGGACATCAACATGTCTATACTGATCTGGAAAGACATTTCTATCCCTATTGGTCAAACCCATAAGGATGACCAAAAATAGTTCACAAAAATAAACAAATGACACTTTGCAACACCTTACCTTCTGGATGGAGATCTTGTGCTTCACAAATTTCCAGCACACCAAGGTTTGGACTTTTCAAAAGGAGCTCAAAAACCTCCTCATCCACTTCAGTCTTAGAATCATCAGAAACTTTTAAGTCCAAGGTTGGGATGCTGAACTTTTTTGCAGCTATGAACATAGCAAATTATTTATTTATTATATATTTGAACATATGTAAATAACAATTAAAAGACATTATAAATTAAAATTAAGTAAAACAGAATAATAAATCAGAAAAGTTGGTAAAGCACCCATTATGGCAACATTCCCAAAACGTTTTTGATAAACACAATATATGAAAATGTTGGAAACTTGTTTTGTTTGCACTCACCACATTCCAAAAATGAACTGTAAGTCAGTTGGCCTTCAAAACAGATGTATTTCTGTCGATCTCTATGTTTGACACGCACAGCTTGCATCCTGCATTATGTAAAATATGATATTTTTCAATAACAAATTATTATATATTATTCACTTTGATAACATACTTATCGAAGGGAATAAAAAAAATTAAGATAAGAGGTTGAAACTATCATGGGGAAGAAGCACTTGGTGGCTAACAAATATCCTTAATGGGCTCTTAATGAGCTAGGCGCTCTTGAATTTAGCCAATCAACACAACTAAAACGAAAACAAAACCACATCAGTTCCATACAACTCGATGCAAACGGGGTTTATGGACTAAATAGTCAATCACAATGTTTTACTGACAACTTACAGTTTGCATACAAAGCACAACTTTAATTATATATTTTTAATTGCTGCTCTACGTTCAAGAGAAGTTACTAGCATAGCCCTCCCGCGCCATTTTCTGGGCGGGACACATGCTAGCAGAGCTAGCTTCGATTGTACAGCTAGCTCCTCTTTTAAACTCCGTTCCTTAGCTTAAAATAGCAACAGCCTTGACTTATGCAAATAAAAAATGGACGTAGCATTGTACAACACTGATGTTTTTTTTCTGCTTACATTGTTGTAAACGGCTACATTAAGTTAGCTGAAGCACACATGCTAACTAGTTAGCCAACCATGTTAATTCCTCGCTGCACCCCTCCTTCCCCCACGACCACACAGCAGCACGTCATCTTTCCGCTAGAGATAATTAGTGTTAATAATAATAAAAAACAAATAAAACCCCACATGAAATATGTTTACAACCCATTTGGGCACTTACCTGGCACAAAGCAGACCGTCGCCTCCGGTCCAATGCGGGAAAACAAAATGGTGGAAGAAACGAAACTTAACGAACTTCAGTGGGCGTTTTTCTTGTTTTACTCCGATATGATTTACTCTGTTTTTTTCCTCCGATTCTATTGACCAATTGACACGATTTTACTCTATAATGTATAAACATGACTCTTTTAGATGAAAATAATGTTAACTCCGAAAAAATTACTCTTCTATTTTTCCTGTGTGCTTGTATATGTTATGGTACATAATAAATTAAAAGTTTTAAAAAATCATTCTGTGTAAATATCTCATGTTACATTGTGGACACATGTGACTTATAGAAAAGCCCGGCCTATATATGTACAATTTTTTTTCTTTTTTAAATTTAATGGGTGTGGCTTATCATGTTCACATCATGCACAGACAGATGGACAGATAGACTATTTCCAATGTCTCCTCTTCACTCTATAACACGGGACAACAACTGAATTCTGGGTGTACTGCGACAGGTCATTGTACACTTTTAATGAAAGAAATACTAAACTAGCACAGCCTTAGAACTCAGATAAGATATAATGGCTAGAGGAAGTTATTAGAATCTCTTTACTTCCAACAATTTTTCTTAAATAAGGTTTGATCATTATTTATTTACTGCCAGTAATTTAGACTCCACAGCATGTTATATAAGCTCATTGCCAACTTTAACAGCTCTATGGGCTTAAACACAGCTGCTCACTGGGATTATGGAGCTGCTCACAAATACACACCCTTTTTATCAACACATTCTGCTCTCCACTCAAACAGCAAGCAGGCAGAATTAAGATAGGTGCCTGTTTTGGCTAATCTTATCATACAGCACAGATTTGTATTGTAGACACATCTGGTCTGCCTATAAAAATCCCTCCCACACAGTTTGTCTGAGTCACACAGACAGGCTGGATGGTCCAAATGCAAAAAATAAAATAAAATAAAATGGGGATCAATAAAAAAAAGGAGTTGATTGATCTCGTAAATATATCCTAATGGATTTTTATAGATCAACTAAATCAGAATCTACACAGATATATAGACAGATATAGGTGCCTCAGATTTAGAGTTCTATAAATTAGAAAAATGTTTTATTCTAAATCAGAAGCTGCCATTGTGTTATCTTTAATGAAATGTGCTTTTTCCATAAATGCTGTAAACACTGGGACTTAGCTGTTTGCTTGACTAAATTATCCACCAGATTTTTAAGAGTAAGTGTAAGTATACCTGTATAAAAAAGATTGAATATATATATATGTGTATATATATATATATATATATATATATATATATATATATATATATATATATATATATATTTATAATTTTTGTGTATGACTTAATCCATAGCATATAGTTTCAAAACATACTACTTAAATACTGTAGCATGTATTTTCCTGTAAAGTAAAATAAAGTACTGAGTGGCTGAAAATTTTTTTTTAAAAAGACATCAATAACTATCTTTAGATTTTTTTGCATAGTTAATTTTACCCTCCTGAAAGTCTTTAAAATTATGCTCTGGCAACACTTTGAAATGAGCATCCCAATCATTTCCTGGTTACTTATCGTTTTGACATGTTATGAAGTGACACACGGTTGACTGGCTCAAGATCACAGGATTTTCTCATTTGGGTGGTAGACGTTGAATGGGGTCATGGGATCCGTCACAGATGGTGCAGATGGGGCACGCTTCACCCCCTTCCTGTGGCTAAACCTTGTATCCCCATGCGTGACCTTGCTGTTCTGGTTTCCAACCCCATGAATGTGGCCTAAAATAAATCTGTAATGAAAAACTTCAAGAGACATGACTCTGAATGTTTGATTGTGTTTTATACAAGACTAGCAAAAAAAAAGAGAAACTTGCTAAAGGAATTTTCAAAGGTGCCAATGATGGTAAATGGACTGTACTTATATAACGCCTTTCTATCTTATCAAGATACTCAGAGTGCTTTACTACACAATCTGTGCCCTCATTTACCCATTCATACAGCACTCTACTAGATCTATACAAGAATAATCAGTGCTTTAGATCACATTCATACACCGATGGGACACACATCAGAGGCAATGAGGGGTTCAGTGTCTTGTCCAGGAACACTTCAATATGTGACTGCTGGTGGAACCGAACCCCCAACTCTTGCATCGGAGGACGACTGCTGTAACCACTCAGCCACAGCTGCCTAAACCTAAAACTCCAACATCTATCAACTTTCTTCTCCAAATAGTATTGTAGGATATATTCTTGTGAACTTATATATATAGTTCTATATTTTTTGCTGGACTATAGCAATTGTTTATTACTGGGTGTCAAAAAAGTTCTTTAAAAAGTCTTCAGTTGATCCGAAATGCTGCTGCCAGAATATTAATGGGAGTTGACAGGAGAGATCATATCTCTCCTGTTTTAGCTTCTCTCCATTGGCTCCCTGTCAAATCCAGAATCGAATTCAAAATCTTACTTCTAACATACAACGCCCTCAACAACCTAGCTCCATCTTACTTGTACATTACAGATCTTATTGTTCCATATTTTCCTAACAGAGCACTTCACTCTCAGACTGCAGGCTTACTCGCGGTCCCTAGAGTTTCCAAAAGCAGAATGGGAGGCAGACCTTTTATCAGGCTCCTCTCTTGTGGACCCAACTTCTAGTTTCTGTCCATAAGGCTGACACATTGTCCAGTTTTAAGATTTGATTTAAGTCTTTTCTTTGTGATAAATCCTATAGTTAGGGTTGGCTTGAGTTTCCTAAGATATCTCTTAGTTACACTGCTATAGGCATTAGACAACTGTAAGACAAACTGACCACATTTCCTCACTCTGCTGCTGTCTTTATCTGATCTACTCTACCTGTTTGTATTTGTAACTATTTATATCTTAACATGTCGTCTTCCTCCTATAGAAAGTACACCTGGACCTGTCATTCTGCGTTGGTCTGTTTCTACTTCATGTTCTGTCAAACCCAGCCGCTCAAAGGACATGGCCGCTCATCCTGAGCCTGGTTCTGCTGGAGGTTTCTTCCTGTTAAAAGGGAGAATTTTCCTTTCCACTGTCTCCCTTGTGCTTGCTCAGGATGGGAGACTGAGATGAAGTGAAGATTCAACACAATCTGCTGCTTCCTTAGATAGAGAACTTTTACTGATTGGTTTTTATAATGTATGTGAATGTTTTTGTTCAGTGCCCTGAGATGACTTCTGTTGTGACTTGGAGCTGTAGAAATAAACTGAATTGAATTGAATTGAACATCTAAGCTGGCAAATACAGGTGTGTTGATGCATGAGCTGTAATAAAATGTGCAAGGAAGTAAGTTCAAAATAAACTTTAAAGCTTCTGCCAGTATCTTATCAGAGTAACCATGGCAACCACACATCTGCATCTGTCACTTTTTGACAGCACTTCTAATGTGACAGGTGGGCGTAAACAGAGTAAACATTAGGCCTCGAACATAGTGTGTGAAAATACAGTACGTTTTTTTTTGACAAAAGTCTGAATGTCAAGTGGCAGAATGTTTGGTTGTAACACTTTTTTTTATGTGTCTGCATTGTTTTATAGGAACTATGACGAAAAACAAAACAGACAATTCACATCCAATTTGGGAAAAAAACAATTCTGAGCTCAGATCCCATGGATGTCATTGAGAGTGAGTTTGTGCACTCTGAAAGGATTTTAAGGAAAAAATAAAGTTTTAAAGCAATGATAGAGATGCAGGGTGAAAGAAGACAACATAAGCTGAGTTTGGGTATTTTACTTGTAAAATAGGTGTAACGTCCGTAGGTGTACAAAGAGTGTATTTGTAAAAATTTCTGAAAGTTTAAAAAGCTCATAAAAGGGACGGCTTCACATTCTTAACTGAATGTTCTCTAGTAAACACTTCAAAAATCTTGTTATTGTGTAAAAACTGTGGAACATATAAATATGCCAGTTCAACCATATAAAATGCAGCTTTTTGTGTGCTGATTAAACTTTGAATGAAGTTTCTACTGTGAAGCATGCTGGAGCTGTAGAGCTTGAAAAACAGCTGGCTAACCCGAACCCTACTGTGGGTGAGACAGGCAACACGATGTTGACCAGATTCACACAGCAAAGGTACAACATCGAGAAGAAAAAAGAGACACACACTCCTCTGGCCCAGCATTTTATGCTACATGGGTGGGATGCAGTAAAGGCCACAGTGCTGCAGGCCAATCTCAGGTGGTCTGTGGCTCAGAGAACTTGGACACACCACACACAGAGGGCTGAATGAAAGCTGATATTGTTATTATTTCCTGGTTTTATTTTTTGGGAGACTGTGACTGACGACCTTTTCCCTAAATGTAAACCCTGACGCTAAACCTAACCTTTAATGATGAGCCCTAATCATAACCCTCTGACCTTTGACCCTAAACCTAACCATGACCCTAAACCTAACTCAAGACCCCCTGTCCTAAACCTAACCCTCTGAACTGTGACCCTAAACCTAACCTTTAATGATGACTCTAAACCTAACCCCATCTGCTAAGCCTAATCTGGACTCCTGACCCAAAACCTAACCCTAGCCCCTAAACTTAACCCAGAACCCCCTGTGCTAAACCTAATTTTCTGACCTTTGACCCTAAACCCAACCCTGATCTTAAACCTAACCCTATGACCTTTGACCCTAAACTCAACCATGACCCTAAACCCAACTCTCTGACCTTTGACCCTAAACCCAACCATGATCCTAAACCTAACCTCAGATTTTTTACCTTAAACCCAACTCTGACCCCAAACATAACCTCTGACCTTTGACCCTAAACCAACCATGACCCTAAACCCAACCATCTGACCTTTGACCCTAAACTCAACCATGATCCTAAGCCTAACCCTCTGATTTTTTACCTTAAACCCAACTCTGACCCTAAACATAACCCTCTGACCTTTGATCCTAAACCCAATGCTGACCCTAAATCCAACCATCTGACCTTTGACCCTAAACTCAACCATGATCCTAAACCTAACCCTCTGGCCTTTCACCCTAAACCCAAAGCTGACCCTAAAGCCAACCCTCTGACCTTTGACCCTAAACTCAACCATGATCCTAAACATAACCTTCTGACCTTTGACCCTAAACCCAACCCTGACCCTAAGCCTAACCCTCTGACCTTTAACCCTAAACCTAACTCAGGACCCCTGTCCAAAACCTAACCCTCTGACATGTGACCCTAAACCTAACCTTTAATGATGAGCTCTAATCCTAACTT